GCCCGCCGGCGCCGCTCGGGCCCTCTTGCGCCGGCTCGCGGCGAGCAGGCAGCGCCGGCCCCCCGCCCCGCGGCCCCGGGCCCCGGCTCCGGCGCCGTCCCCCCTCCCCGGCCGGGCGCCGCGGCCCTGGCATGAGGAGCGGGCGATGATCCCGGCCAACGCCTCCGCCAGGAAGGGGCCCGAGGGCAAGTACCCGCTGCACTACCTCGTGTGGCACAACCGCCACCGCGAGCTGGAGAAAGAGGTCCGCGCCGGCCAGGTACGAGCGCCGTCGGGGCGCCGCGGGGACCCCACCGCCGGGCACGCCCGCCGGGTGTGGGGAGGGGGCGCGGCGCGGGCTGTCCCGCCTCCCCGGCGAGTTTGCAGCGCTTCTTTGTTCGCAGCCGCGGCTTTTGTGCTTGTTGACCGGGAGAGGGTGATGGGAGCGGCCCCCGCCCGCTCCCCTCCGGCTCGGACGGACGGCCCACACGTGTTCCGGACCCTCCCAGGTTGGGGTCGGGGGCACGGTGCCCCTCCTCGGCCGAGGCGGAGGGCTGCGGGGAGGGGCTGCGGGCTCGGGTCCGCGCTCCATGTGGTGGGAGAGTCCGCGGAGCAGCCGAGCAGCGACACCTCCCGCGTGAGTGTGCGGAGGTGGGCAAGGCCTGCGTCGGGAGGGGGGTCACAGGTCAAGGATCAGAGAATAGGCTGTGACACTCCCAGGCATCCCAGCCCCACCCAGTGCCCTCTACCCTCCCGGGTGAGCGCTACATCTGTTTGCTCAGGTTGGGCAGAGCCCCTGGATCCCCCAGAGCCCAGCGCCGGCTCTGGAATGGAGTGGAGAGAGACACCCCCTCCCCGGGGAAGCCCTGAAGGGCCTTGTCCAGGTGCTGAAAGGAGCTCTCCTGCCCTCTGGTGCTGGGGCCTGGCTTCTAGGCGCGGAGGAAGCTAGGGGGCCACTGGGCACTGGAAGGGTTTGAGGTTCTGCACACAGAGCGGGCTCCCTGGTTCCTGCCAGTCAGGGAGAATGGTGGGTCAGCCAGCTTTGGCTGGGCGGTGGCCTCCCAGAGGCCGGGGTAAGGGATGGGGTCTCCTGGTCATTCTCCTGGAGCAAGGCAGGGACAGTTTGCAGGTAGCTCCCAACTCTGCCACAGGCCACAGATGGGCATTTGGGGTGTGGATAACTCACCCTCCAGGCTGGGGGAGCAGGGGCCAGAGCTGGGCCCAGCCTGCCCTTCTTTGCCTCAGGCTGAGGCCAGCGGACTTGGCCCAGATCTGAGACCCTGGGGGCATGGGAGTGGTTCCTCCAGGAGTTGTCCCCTTGGGGAATATGCCTTTTGAGGACCACTTCCTGAGTTACAGGAAGTTCAGTCGGAGGAGCTGTTTGCTTCCCAAAGGACGAGCGAGGTAGAGAGCAAGGTGAGGGTCAGAGAGCGTCTCAGAAGTCCACCACTGAGCCCTCAGAGCAGCAAAGCATCCACCTCTGCAGAGCAGTCCTAGGAATTGTTGGGGTGACCTGAGCCTCCAAGCCTCTGGGCTGGTTGGGCTGTCCACTTACATTCCACCTCTGCTTAAACAAGGGCACTCCAAGTTGCTCCTCAGACCATGCCTCTGTTTATCCGTCGTAAAGGAAGTGGTTTGCAACCATCGAGCCTTGATGAAGGAAGTGAGGCCTGAGTGGTAGGTCCTGGGGGACAAAGATGAACAAACCAGGCACATCCCTGGCTCTCAAGGAGACCCTGTTCTGGTGATGTGAGCATGAACAGAGAAATACCGTATGATGTGCTGGGCGCTCGGACAACCCAGTCTCTCCTGACTCTTTTCTGTTTTCCTCCCATGAGGGCAAAAGAAGACAGGCTTCTGACACAGGTTACAGCTGGAGGGATTTAAATCTGATCCGAGAGAAACTTCCTGATGGGGTGATTGATGATTGGTCCAAGGACTGTTAGGCAGAAGGCGAGTGGCTGAATCTCCAGAAGGTCTTACTTGGACTCCCTTGTCTGAGGGGTGGCTGGTTCTTTTCTTGCTGAGATTGGAGAGAGGCAAAATGCCCTAGAAGAAAAGACTCTCACGTAGGCCTCTCTGACTGATAGTACTCAAGTCAGCCATCTTGCTGGAGTGAGATTGGGGTGGGGAGCCCGGGAACCCGCTGCATGTGGGGGTGCTTTGGGGCTGCTGAGTGTGTTTCTCTTTCCCCTTGGGCTGCCACAGAAACTAGGCACCAGGTTCAGCCCTATCTTCACCCTCCCATCCCTCCCACTTCCCTGGTGTGTTAATGTTTCCTTGAAAGGGACACTGTCTGCCCTGATCCAGGATGGCGTGGGGGAGGAAGGAATATAGGGCACTGGTTGAAGTTAACCCTTGTTCAGCCACAGAGGAGTCAGGCCAGTCCTCTCCTTCGCTCCAGGGGTGCCAAGAGGGAGAATGCCAATCAGTCCGGGCGAGAGAGGCTCCTGGATGTATCTCCACTCTAGGACTGACCCAGGATGGCCCTTGCATTCCAAAATGTGCACTATTCAGTCCTTAGGGCATGGGGCCCCCAGGGAGGGCCAAAGGTGCCCTACCCAGCCCTTTCCTGCCGGGGATGGGCCTGGGGGCAGCCACCTAACATCATAATGAAGCCCTGTAGACCCTAGACATCCCAGCAGGGGTTCCCTGACCTCTGGTGCCCCTAGCACCCACTGTCCCAGAACACATCCAAGCTTTCCTCAAGCACACAGCAGCTGGGTTTCCCTGGCTGCCTCTTCTGCACTCCAAGAAACCCCCACAGAGGCCCTCCCATGGGCAGGCTTGGCAATGCTGGCAGGCTGGGGAGGGGGATGGCATGGCAGGCTTCAGAGCAGATTCAGTGGCTTTGCTCAGTGCCCTCACCCCTATAGTGCTTCTTCGGGGCTGGAAGCAGGGAGCGGTGGGGAGATGGGAGGTGCTCACCGGGTGTTTTGGTGAGGGGAAGGGTCCATGACCACCCCTAGTTGGCACCCAGCAGGATGATGGTTGCCGGGCACCCTGCTTCCTGTCACACACATGCCCTGCCAGACCGGGAGGGGGGCAGGGGGCCGTAGGCCAGTGGATGTGCCAGTTTCCCCTTGGCTGACGAGGCCGTGAGGTTGGCTCAGCTGGCTGTGTTCTTGAGTCACAAGTCCCTGGTGTTCCCAGGGGGGCAGGAGGTGGAGGTTAGGCTGTAGAGCTCCCTGTGGGAGGGCTGAGGGGAGCAGGGTTCTTCCCTTGGCAACAGGCACTCTGGAGGGGGCCAGACTGTGTTCTTAAGGAATCATTTTCTTTCTTCCTGGGGCTGCCTCCATCATGGCCCTCCTCCCTGATTTCCTCAGTTCATCCTCCTGACCTAGAAGCAGGCAGGATGGGATTGTGGGGGCCCTAGAATCTCAGACAGAGGCTACCCCACCCGAGGTACCTGGTGTGTCCCGGAGCACCTGTGGCCCCCTCTCCCCCTCAAGTAGGCAGTCCCACAGCTGATGAGTTGGGAAGCTCAAGAGAGGGACCTACAAACCTCAGAAACCCAACATCAGTGTGTCTGGGAAACAGTGGAGGGGCCGCATGGGGCAGGATGGAGGGGGGCTGCGTGGGAGGAGAGTCAGTAGGTGCCACCCTCAGCCACCCAGCTCAGCTTGAGGAAGCATCCCGCCTCCCTGACCCTTGAGGGAGCTCAGGCCTACCTGGTGGGAAGGCTGGGAAGCAGTGGCCACCCCAGCCTCTGGTGGTCCTCCTTGGGGCTGGGGAAGGCAAAGGAGCAGGGAAAGGAGACCAAGGCTAAGCATGCCAGGCTCTATGCTCTGGGCCCTTCACCTTTCTTCTCTAGCTGTACACATTTGGTGTGTCCTTGTAAGATTTCATCTAACAAAAGGATTCTGCTAATGCTAAACCAGTTTGAAAGATACCCCGCTAGTGCCTGTGGGCTCAGGGGGTACGCAGTGTGCGAGTCCACTGGCCACAAATGTGCGTGCTATGCATCAGTAGGCTCGTGCAGATCCAGAGGGCGTCTGAGCACACAGGTGCCGTATAGGGCAGCACACGGACCCTGAGCGAGGGCCAGAGGAGTAGGCCTGGGTATTCCTATGGTACCTGTTCACGCGTGTGCGCAGCTAGGTGCGGGCCTGGGTACAAGCAGGGCGTCCCTCTGCCCAGGGAGCCCCAGCCCCTAAGCTCAGTAGACACCCCCACCACCCCAGCGGACGCCTGCTGGGGTGCAGAGTTTCATTCTCCTGGTGGGGAGGGTCGGGTGTTAGGTTCATGGGAACCTTTTTCCTTCCAGCAGTGAAATAGCTGCAGGCCTTCGCTGAAGAAATGAATGAATTTGCCCACCTGGGCCCCAGGCAAGATGCCACTTCCACTGTAGGCCCTGCTTTGGGTGGGTTGGGGGAGCTTCTCTGGGGGTTGGCTGGGTGCATGCGGTAGGGGGGGAGGCCCACATGCCCCCCCCCCCCCAGCAAACAGCAGGGCCCTGGGACCGCTGGCAGAGCCCCTGAGGAGTGGAGGGAGGGAGCAGTGCCAGCCTCTCTCCAGGGCCTGGAGGTGAGACACCTGAGGGGGGGGGAGGGCAGGAGGCCCCTGGCCCCCCCCCCCCGCGTGTGTGTGTGTGTGTGTGTGTGTGTGTGTGTGTGTGTGTGTGTGTGGGCGGGGTGCCCTGCCCGCTCCTTGGGGCCTTGTTAGCAGCAGTAGCGGGTCTGGGGCAGGGCTGGGGGCCGGAGATGGCTCAGCTGCAGCTCCCTGGGAAGACTCCTGACTTCCCAGCTCGGGAGCTATGGGCCCTTGGTCCCACCCCAGGACTCAGGGCCCACCTCGGTTGTCGGCCGCCTGGGGGCTCAGCCCATCCCATAATAGGGAAGGAGTAAATAGTGCTCTCCCTCCTCTGTGGGGAGCTGGTGTAGAGGAGCGCGGGGTGGGGGCGCTCAGATCTCTAAGTCACCGCTCACAGGGCCACACGGGCCAGGCATACTTTGTTGTTTTTGTTTGTTTTTCCTGAGGTTCCTAATATATTTAAAAATGAAGAAATGAGGGCCCCTGGCTGGCTCCACCAGTAAAGCTTGTGACTCCTCATCTCAGGGTCATGAGTTCAAGCCCCAACTTGGGCATGGAGACTCCTTAAAAAATTAAAAATAAACAATGAAGAAATGCCAACAGAGGGTTATAAAAATTATGTAAATTGCTTAAATTATTTAAAATGTTCTTTTGTGACAATGGAGTTCATTCTCATGTTTTAAAACATATTTAGCTGTTGTTAGAGGCTTGTCATGAAAAGGCAGTAGTCCTCACCGAAGCCCTCCC